AGAGGTACATGTTGTACTCTTTACTGTACTACATCTCAGAGGTACATGTTGTACTTTATACTGTACTACATCTCAAAGGTACATGTTGTACTTTATACTGTACTACATCTCAGAGGTACATATTGTACTTTATACTGCACTATATCTCAGAGGTACATATTGTACTCTATACTGTACTACATCTCAGAGGTACATATTGTACTCTCTACTGTACTACATCTCAGAGGTACATGTTGTACTTTATACTGTACTACATCTCAGAGGTACATGTTGTACTTTATACTGTACTACATCTCAGAGGTACATGTTGTACTCTATACTGTACTACATCTCAGAGGTACATGTTGTACTCTATACTGTACTACATCTCAGAGGCACATGTTGTACTCTATACTGTACTACATCTCAGAGGTACATGTTGTACTTGTTACTGCGTTGGACAGCTGCTCCCTGGAATGAAGCCAGTGAGTGTTTCTAATCAGAGTGTTTCTGGACCATCATACATCCTGTTTGTTTCCCCCCTCAGAGTGTCCTCCTCTGGGCTTGGAGTCCCACCGGGTGGAGAACGACCAGCTGCTGGCTTCCTCTCAGTCTCACTACGGGTTCGCGGCTCAGAGGGGACGACTAAACATGCAGGTGAGACTCATACAACAACTACATCTGTGAGTCTGCTCTCAAAGTATCTGTTTAGTGGTTTTTATGATAATAAGCGTAAGAAAATCTGCGTTGGCGTGCAGGGCTCTGGGAATGACGACGACCTGTACGGCGGCGCCTGGTGTGCAGAGTCAGAAGAGGGCAACCACTGGTTCGAGGTCGATGCCCGCCGAGAGGTGGAGTTCACCGGGGTCATCACTCAGGGACGGAACTCAGAGCAAATGTGAGTCTAACCTCCACTTCATACAATGAACGCAGAGGTTTCTGTGTGTCACTTTCATGGAACTATGGAAGCTCATTTCCGCAGGGAAATAAAGGTTGGGAGTGACATTTAAAAAAAAAGTCAAATCTATAAAATAGAAGTATATATTTTCTCATATTTGAGTCTCAGTAAGTGTCAGAATTTTGACAACCTCTTTTCAATTTCAAAAAATGTGATGATTGGAGTCTTCAAATACCACATTTCTTTGGCCACTAGGGGGCCAACAGGATTTTTAAAACACTGATATTATTCTGGAGGCTATATAACATGAAACAAACAGTTTCATAATTACACATCCACAGAGAAACGCGATGGTTCAAACTGAGCTCAGGGGAATGAAGACTGTGAAACGGTCATAGTTATGTTTCGGTAACACACCACTAAGTTAGGTTTAGTGAAAACATCATGGTCGGCTTAAAATACGTATGTAAACTATGTAAAATACGTTCAGAAGCAACGCAACAGAAAAACATGTCTCAAATGTCACGAACGCAACTTTTTTTTTAAAGAAAAAGAACATTTAGGACACCGGTCTCAAACGACGGTCTCCTTGTTGAAAGTCCTGTATTTGTTTGACCCGTCCACCATAAGCGATCTATCTCACATTTTATACGTCCCATGTTCAAAACAAAGCATATTCACGCCGGCGCTTTACATTGTAGTCAGTACAGAGAGAGTCCGAGGGCTGAATGATCCATTAGGAGTCTTTGTAAGTCCAATATTCTCTCTCTTTTTGCTCTGTTTTTGGTCTCCACCACCTCCTGGTGGAAATATCTGTCTCTCTAGCTGCTAAATGCTGCACTATGTTCACCAGCTGGTCTCTAACTGAGTGTGTCTGCTGTTTGATGCTCAGCAGGTAGTGAACAGAGGGTTTATTAGAGCTTTTTGTTTGAGAATGTTGGTCATCAAACCAAAACAATGGGCTGAAAGATGCTCAAACATTTTCATTTTCTCGTCCTGGCAGAAATCCGCTTCCATACAGGTCAGTAAGAATAAGGAATAATGAATCCCTTTTCCTCCCTAGTGAGGATTTCGTGTCCTCCTACTTTGTGGCCTTCAGCAACGACAGCCGTGACTGGACGACACTTCACGACGGATACGCTGAATGGGTGAGTGGAAATGAAACTCCACTATAGCCTTCTCATGTTTTTTCAGAAATGTAGTATTGAATCAGACATTTCTTCAACCAAACACAATAACACATGCGACATATAACCGTCACACAAGGAACGCTAGCTCAGGTCACTTGATGCCTCAAACCCCAAGAACAAAACCTCAATTATTCCCTATTATCTACCGTTCAATAACAGCTTGGAACTCTCCACCTCCTCATGTAACTTATAACAAACTGTCATTTAAAGAAAATGAAAGGCTCACCTAAACCCACTTAGCATGTGACGAGAAGTCCTTTGTAGACCCCGATCCTTCTTCAGAAGAAGATGCATAATGTATACGGTACTTTGTATCCGACTGTAATATTTTAATTATTCGGATTGTATTGTATGTGTTATGAATTGTCCTCTCCTGTGGACCCGAGGAAAATTAGCAAATAACAGCTCTACTTTTTGTCCTCTCCTGCAGTTGTTCTATGCGAACGTGGACAAGGACACGCCGGTGTTGGGTCAGTTCGCGGCACCCGTGGTGGCGCGATACATCCGCATCCTGCCTCAGAGCTGGAACGGCAGCTTGTGTCTTCGGGCCGAGGTCCTGGCCTGTCAACTCCCCAGTCAGTGTATTCACAGACAGCCACATCACAGCACCGCTCACCTGCTGTTTCTCATCTCGCTCTGCTGTCACAGGTTCTGGAGGAGTTTCATGAGTCAGAGAGCTTCCTCATTCCTTAGGAATAGGTCATCCTCCACTGGAGAGACAACTCAACTTTCTGCCAAACTTCAACTTAAAAAGAGACTATTTCACAACACGAACTTCACAACCTCAGTGTTGTTACATAACTGCCTCACAGAATAGCTGTGCAGTGTTTCCACCATTTAACTAACTTCCTCCAGCATGGTATTTACATTTTCTGCTGTTTCTATAAAATCCTAATCAGATCACAGAATATGGTTTTGAGTTGCTGTTATCGTCATGTGGCCTACTTATCGTTACAAATAGCGTTAAACTTGCATTGTTGGAATGTAACTGAGTACATTTACCAAAATACTGAACATAAGAACATTTTGACATACTGAGTATTTCCATTTTCTGCTACATTCTACTTCTCCTCCACTACATCTTAGAGGTAAACAGTGTACGTCTTACTGCACCTACATGAGTTTAGTTACTTTGCAAATTCTGATTAATAATGCAAAATATAATCAACTAATAAATTATAAATTATTAGTTTAAGATGAAAACTGTATTGATCCGAGGAAAAAAACAGCCAGCAGTGTTTAAAGTTATTAAAATTAGCTCCAACTTTACCAGCTGCAGCATTAAAGTGATGAACACAATAATGCATCAATAATTATAATAATATAATCCAATAACATTACATATAATATTCTGAAATTGACTGTTCTGCATAATGAGTCCTTTTTTGTTCTTTTAGTACATTTTGATGCTTATGGTTTTACTTAAAAAAGAGAAAAACTTGGTGTGTAATCACCTGAAACTGAGAATTGTTGAGCTTTTCGTGAGCCCTACATATTATCTACATATGGAGAGGGAGGCGGAGTCCGCCATGTTTCTACGGTAGAACGGCAAACCAAACACTGACTCTCAAGAGAGACTTTCACGTTTTAACATTTCTGTAGTTCTCTACACGTGGTTGCAATCTGCAACCTCACCACTAGATATTACTAAATCCCACACTGTCCCTTTACGTAAAAAATATCTAAGTACTTCTTCAATCTTTGTTGTTTCCCAAAACTAACAGCTTTACACCAGACAGATACACAGCATTACCAGCAGTTCAAATATAGTCTAATCTCAGCATGGTGCTTCTTTCAGGCACCTACCGCAGTGAGAATGAAGTCAACCCATCAGACGACCTGGACTTCCGACACCACAACTACAAGGAGATGAGACAGGTCTGTTTTCAACGTAGTCGTCGTGACGTCACTCATGAGTTTGTGGACTGATGCTTTGAAGCCTCAAGTTTGGCGATTTGGCCGTAGCCAACTTGTTTCTTTTGCAGCCAATGAACAGGAAGTGACCATATCTGGACTGAGGAGGAGTGACATAGAGACGGCGTATCCGTCTCTGGTAGAGACCTGTCAATCACCGTGTAGCCCCGCCCT